TAAATGCAGGTTACTAGGTTTGCTTTAATTTAGGAGCTGCTTTTAATAGAGCTCTCATTAGCCCTTTTTTAATCTTAAGTTCAGAGGTTTAGTTCTTCGGTAACATCGGTAATGTTACTACATGGACATCATATTATGATATCGATGTCAAAGGAAGATGTTATATTACCAAGGGTTATGAGAGAGCTCCTGTTTTTCTTCTGTTTTTTTTTTTAAATCCAAGGGCTGGAGGGCCCTGCAGGTCTGGTAACATTACCACGCCAGTGCTGTAGTATTCACCTCAAATATGCCACCAAAAGCATCTATTAATCATCATGTAAAGAGGTACAGGAAAACTAAGAAAAGTGAGGTTAGTGAAGGCAATACGGTGGGCAATAGCAGCCCAAGAGACCAAAAGTCAAAAGATGGCAGTTTCCTATGAATTCTGTTGCTAATACCCATTAAATAAGACATAGTCTGTCTTCTCAAAGATCATTACAACGGTTCTCCTCCATTCTCCTCCATTTCTGTCTGCAGAGAGACACTACCATGTTGAAATCTCAACTAATTTGCAATGCCATCTTTGTCCTGAGGTACCTGAAAACATATCATATAAACAGCAATCACCAAACATGATGAGGTTGTTCATTACCAAAAGGCAATGCACAAATCTCAAACTTAAAAAAATTGTCTCACCAGACAACCTTCAATCTACAATTTTCAATTCTACTGTCTGCAATTTCCTTATCAACATATTTTTATTTTTCATATGCACCATCTTCCTTAGTCTACTAGCTGAATGTTTATTGAGTTCTGTCCCCAACCTTCCCAATTCAATTAACCTGGCTTTAATTTTTATTTCGCAGTGAGATTATAGCAAACACAGAGTGCTAATGTGAATATTCAAAAATCATATACCCAACTAATTTTCATGATTGAATAAAAGAGAATTTGGTATAACTATTATGTTCGACACAGAAGATAGGTGAGAATTGCTAAAACTAAGCAAGAACATATGCAGTGGAAATTTTTTTGTCAAAATATATCCATTATTGGTAGATAAAACATATCCATAAAGGAAAATAAGATAAAAAAAGTTTTAAATGTGCTTAAACAGAGAAATCATCTCACCAAGACATCTGTTGCTCCCTCTTGACTCCTCTCCATAGCCAAAATCCCATTGCAAACATTAGTAGCATGCTTACTGGTATCATCTTCAATTAGATAATTCTGCAACGCAAAGCAATAAAATGAATAAATGCAAACATCCCTTTTGCCACTCAGATTTTCACAAAGAAACAAAAGATGAAAGCTCCTCAACTTGTGTGTTGCTAACCTCACTAATTGTCACCGTTGAATCCTCTTTTTGAGCTACTTCACATATCCTTTTGTTGTTGGGATTACTTAAACCATCCTTATAATCATCAGCATTTGCTTCGACTTCAGCCTACAACATTTCACTTAAGATATTAATGACTTCAAAACTACTAGGAAAACTATCACATGACAAGATCAGTTACCAGTGACATGCCCAACTTTGCCAAGGAGTGGCTGAGAGGTTCGCCTTTTAACACAATTGTTGGAAAACGGTCAATATCCCAACCAAGAACCCTACAAATTGCCTGACCAAAAGCTCTGTGCGCCCGCTTCTTTTTTGTCTTTAATATTGCATTGGAATGCTGTAGAAGCCCAAGACAACTTTTAAAATTCTTCCAAACCTTCTTTCCAATCCCACCACAAACCAGACAACAGAACTTCCCTCCTTCATAATTTTGCTCATAATAACTTCTGAGCTCACTATTCTCTATGAAGACCTTCAGAAAAAACTTGAACTCTTCACTGTCCTCAGGTCCATCTTCATCATCACTTTGATCACCATCTGAACCAGCACTTTTCTCAAAGAATTCTCGGCAAGCGTCTGAGACTTTCTGCTGCAACTGCACTGCATCTATCTTTGCTTGCTCTTCCGCAGAAGGTAAGCGAACTAATGAAGGCGTATGGGGCTTCAAGGTAGGCCATCCTGGACCTACTATAGAGGATTCATCAACAGGATTTAAGCATGGCCATCCCATGCTAGTGGCCAATGATGGGCCAGATTCCTGGAAGAGAAAAAATGTGTTATTTCAATATGATCAACATCGTTACCCAAATTTACATCTACGGTTGATATGGTGGAAAGGACACATAAAACTATTTCAGAAAAGCACTTCCAAATGACACATATTAGAAAAATCTTCTAAAGATAATGTTATGCAAAAAATGTGCTAACAATGCTAGAAGAAGTACAGACAATTCATTTTATAGAGAATGATTCATCCCAAAATCACTAGCCTTTTTTCCAACCTTGGATACTTCTTATTCTTCTTCATTTTTTCTCCCCCTTTTGGGTATTAGGTAATGAAGCTAAAACATCAATTGAGCACTGGTGAGCATCATTATGGTGTTCTCAAGGGCATGTGATAGTGATAATGAGATTAAAATTTGTCAGTGAAACATCAGTAAGAGGTTCTGCAGAGTAGGGGGAAAAAAATAAGTAAAAAAAAGTTCTTTTCTACCAATGCCAAGAACATTTCCACCTTAATCTTACACATTTCTCCAGTGATATGTGGTACTTATCCCACCAAATCACCATGAATATCAGGCCTCAGGCTGTTTGGTCCAGGCAAAATGCTTAAATTATAACATGGAAGGACTCATCATGTCTCGATAATCTCTTTAATTAAATATCAAATCATGGCTCTTTCTACTTATTGACAAAACCAAACAGCTCAATGTTTTCAGCAACTTTAATGTTTGAAGCATTTTTTCGTACTGCAAGAACTTCATTCACTATGATTATCTTGGTTTCCTTTTGAAATGGCCAACCGAAGAGGAAAAAAAAAAAAAAAAAAAAAGAAAAGAAAGAAAAGAATGAACAAAACCACATATCAAATGCAAATGGCCGTTTTCACCAGACAATGTTACATCTTTATCTGCTTCCAAATTCAAGAACTCACCATCAAGATTTTCAACACATGTATTGGAATTATCTACATTAAAAGAAAAATAAATGTTTTGTCTCACATAGAAATGACCAATGGGATAAAAAAAAAAAAAAAAATTTACATAGTAATACAACTCACTATCAATTAATACAGAAAATATTGCTTTATAGAATAATACTTTAGTAATTATATATCAATATAGAACATTCCTCACCTGGCAATCCACTGCAACCCCTTTATCTGCTTCCATATTCAAAAGCTTGCTATCAAGATTTTCAACACATTTACCGACATCACCTACCTTCAAAAAAAAGAAAAATCATATATTCATATTAAAGTGGCCAACAACAAAAGAGAAAAAGAAAATTCAAATACAAAGTATTTACATATCAAATATAGAACACTCTTCTCACCCAGCAATTCACTGCTACATCTTTATCTGCAACATTCAAGAACTTGCCATCAAAATTTTTAAAAGCTTTTTCGGCATCATCTACCTTGACAGAGCTCTGCAACTAACAATAGTTGAAAAAAAGTTAACTACACCGAATCACATAGCTAAACCTAAACCTTCCCAGGTTTTCACATTTCAATTTATAGTGAATAACTTTCAAAATAATACACATCACTAACCTCACCAATCATCAATTCACCATCATTTCGATTACCATCTAAAACCACTTTCTCAACAATTTCACCATCATTTCCACTTCTAGAGCCCTCGTTTTCCTGAGCAACAGTCATATCTTCCTTATTATCTTCTGCATTTGCCTTTGCCGCTTCATCCTTCAAGATTTAAACCCATTCATAAGCCACATTTTATTTTCCATATACGAATATTTCCTAGTAAAGACACCATCTTGCAAAAAATTAAACACAGACCTTAAACCACCAACATCACAATCGAAGAAATGCACAAAAAGAATTGCTTTTTGTATTAATTTCAGAGTATTTCACACATATTTTTAAAGATTGATTTTTTTTTTTTTTTTTTTTAATGAACTGTCTTACCTGTGTAACGCCGGAATTCACCAAAGAAGTTCCAAGTGGCTCACCCTTGAACACAATCACTGGCAAACTATCAAAATCCCATCCAAGAACCTTACACACAACCTGCCCAAGAGCTCTATGAGCTCTCTTTCTCTTCGTCTTCGATATAGAAATTGTGTGCTGAACAAGGCCTAAACAATCTTTATACCTCTTGTTAAGTTTCTCCCCAATCCCACGACAAACCAAGCAACAAAATTCACCCCTATCGTGGTTCTTCTCATAGTAACTCCTCAACTTATCATCCTTTACAAACAATTCTAGCAAAAAATTAAACTCCTTACTCTCTAAACCCTCATCATCCTCAGTCAAATAATCCATCTCACCAAACTCCTCATCGTAAATGCGATCCTCTTCTTCATCACTTTCATCTCTATTAGAGAAAAACTCCTGGCAAGCTTGAAGACCCTTCTGCTCTACTTGCATTGCCAACTGTTTCGCTTTCTCTCCGGCCGACAAAGGCCCAGCTTTCGACTCTGCTTTCAGTTTCACCTCTCCCCAGCCAGCGGTGGGTGGAGAGTTGACAGGCCATTTGGGGCCCCAATCACGATCCGGGTCGGAGTCTGATTCGGAGCCAGATTTGTTCTCGACAATGTTTAGTTTTTTGGAACTTCTCATCTTCTTTTGTTTCTTCAAAGGCGAGGTGGTGGTGGGTTTATGGGGGTTTCTTGATGAATTGCGAGTGTCGTTGGATTGGTTTGGTGGTGGGTTAGGGATTCTGGGAGGGCCTTGATGCCATAAAGAATGAAGATAAATCACTTCATCTCTCAGTCTCTGTTCATCGTACGAGTTCATTTTTCTTCAAGCTTTGAAAATGAAAAATAAAATTGGATTTCCTTATATATCGATCGGCTCAGTGAAATATTTTAATTATTTACTAGAGTCAAACTCGTCAAATATTCGATAATTAAATATTTTTAAAGAATTTGATAATAATTAAAAAAATAATGAAAATAAAGTATTTTACGGATGAAGTTTTTATCCTTAAGACTTTAACTTCGCTCGGTAACTGAAATTATGGCGGGAAACAATTCTTGAGAACTCTCAGTTATCTCCGCAACACTAAAACGATCTCCTTCCTTTATGTTTACTCTCTCCACTTTCCGTGCACCCTGCTGTAACCCTATCATTGTCCAACACTTGTTTACTCTCAGTTGTTTCTGTTTCCATAAAACACAAAATTACTTCCGCTGTTTCTGCTTCCAAAAACAACTGCAACTACCACTGCAATCAATGGCGCCTTCAGTCGTGGCGGAGTACGCGAAATCGAACCGGTCGGCGTGCAAGAAGTGCTCAGAAAAGATTGCGGCCCAGGCCTTGAGATTGGGGTCGGTCAGCAGAGACTCGCGAGGGTTTGACTTGACCAAATGGCATCATGTGGACTGCTTTCCTTTCGCTTCTGAGCCAATTGATTCTGCCGACAGCATCAAGGGCTTCTCATCGCTTAAGGTTTGAGCTCCGTTTTCAAAATTTTGAGTTTTTAGGGTTTTAGGGGTTTGTTTGGTTGGTCAGAAAATTGGGGAAAAGAAAGCGAAGTGGAAAATGGGTATGTATGGGCATTATGAGCTCTGTTTTTAATATTAAAAAAAATGTTCTTTTATTTTTATTTTAGGTTAAGGTTCGTTTATGCACCGCGTTTTCAACTCTAAAACAATGAATAACACATACAATTTTTTTTATTCTTTTTAAATATTTGGATACATGTCCTAAACTTAGATTGGTATTTTGTTGGGCGCTAAAAGTAAATTCTGAAAGTTTCATTCTTTTTTGTTTATTGGTTTTTGGTTACCTTGGTACTCTCTGCAACCAAGTGGAGGTTTTGGCTTTGAAGTATGCGCGATATAGTTTATTTTTATTCTTTTGTGGTCTATATATTCAGAGTGGTGATCAGGAAGCTTTGAAGAAATTGGTGGTTGAATGCAAGAAGTCTCCCGAGGAGGTATGAGTTGATTTTCACAATAACATATAACCAAATGACTTACTCTCTCTGCTTTGGAGATGTGGTCTTTTCATTGTTATAGATATTGTGTTATATTTATGTACCTTTTCTGAGCACCTATTTGAGCAAATTGTGAACTTTGCAGGTTTCAGGGAGGAGCCAAAACGAAAATGCGAAGGTACAGATGGCAAATGACATAGACTTCAGTTATCGGTGTGATTCAGTTGTTATTTTTGTTAATTACTTTTCTGTCACATATTATGTTTATTCTGTAACTAGGTTCAGAAAACAAATGAAGACAAAGAAGAGGTTGAATTGGAGGAAGGAAATTCAAAAAGAATAAAGGTAGTCAATACTCTCTCTCTTGGTATGTGGATTTGGAGGTCTTAAAATTAATTAGTATTTGTATAATAATTCTCTTTGGTATGTGTAAGATCTTTTACTATAGCTAATTTTTTTTTTTCTTGTATCCTAATGTAAGTGGTGGAATTTAATAACTCATGGAAAATGATGAAAGACAAGATGGAAATTGTGATAGACAGAGAACTATATAAACCACACACCAAAAATATCTATCCGAAATAGTAACCTCAGAATAACAAAAAAGGACTTTTGCAAATTCTTAGAGACAATTTTTATCTGAAAATTTTACAATTCTTGATTATTTCGGGGTGGATGACCTTGTGCTTGTTAATATTTCGTTTGTTTCTTCTGGCTGCCCAGCTTCAAAGTGTATGCCTATTTGCTTAGAGATAAAAAGATGTGACAGCATGCTTTGAGCTTTGTGCTATAGGTTCTTGTTTCATTTGTCCATATATAAGTATTTAAACCCTATATTGATTGTTGTCATTTATTTTCTGTTTATTAACACATTGCTTTTAACAAAAAAAGTTATAGACTACTATGATACTTACATCCATTTTTCACTAATCACTTGCAAGTTGGATGTTAATTTCCTTTCTGCCCTGTTTTCATGTGATTCCTTCAAGTTATCAACTCCTAGTAGGGAAGCTAATTTGGAAATACCATTTTCTGTCTCTGACATCAAGGAAACCTATAAGGTATGCTATATTCTAAATTACATTTTTTTTTTTTTTTCAAAAATCAGTCTTCTGTATCATTCTTATTTTGCTTTGGTAATATCTTTACCTCTTTCATGCTCCCACCCACCTGCATAATGTATTCAACTATCTTTCTGATTCAGGACGCAAAACTGTTACCAAACTGGAAGGCCTTCCAGACAACCATATTTCTTGAAAGGGTGAGACACCTGTCCTACTGATGGACATTATTGCCTTTGCTGCTTCTTTTCTTTTCTTTTCTTTTCTTTTTTTGTTTTTGTTTTTTGGTGGATATGGACTATGGTGAGTTATAGTGTAATATTAGTTGGTATTTCTTGGGGAGGGTTTCATAGTGATATAACATTGGCCAGGATTTCATATTGGTTAAATGTGATATATTTGGTCTTATGATCTGCCTTGTTTTATGCTTTCTTTGTTGAGGCATTGAAATCCAAACTATTTTCTTACCGTTTCTAGTTACTTTTCTGCTTTCTTACAATGTAGTACTGCATATACATGTTTGCACATGTTTACTCATGTCTCATATACTTGCATCTGTAGTTTGTCTGGAGGACTTCACATGGTTATGCCTTTCATCTGTAGTAAGAACCTATTTTGCTTATATGTTTGTGCTTTTTAATATTTATAGGATGATGGTCTTCATGATTCAAAGAAAATTGCAGCATTTGATTTTGATGGATGTCTTGCCAAAACATCTGTGAAAAGGTATGTTCATATTCTTTTTTGAGGCATTTCTTTATAATAAATTTTTTATTATAATATCTAAAAGGTGTATTATCATGACATAAGTGTCTGCTAAACAAAAGCATAGATCTTTGTTGTGTTCTAATGTTCGATAGTCAGATGGATTGCTAAAAGGATATGCAGTTATTTTAAGATTTTGGTTGCTCATTTTGCTCCAAACTAGTTCATAAAATCATGGGTTTGCCAAAGAGTATACTTTGTTTCTCACTCTCACCCTGTCCCTGCCTTACCCCTCTTCCCCTCCAAACACATGCATACATACAAAAAAAAAGAAAAAAAGAAAAAAGAAGAAAACCGCAAGTGCTGAATTAAATTTGGAGTTAAGCATCATTTGAAGTGACTGATCAATGAACTGTTAATCTCTTTATTCCAGAGTAGGTGCAGATGCTTGGTCCCTTATGTATCCTTCAATACCGGACAAGCTGCAGAGTTTGTATAATGATGGCTACAAACTGGTCTGTTTCTTTTCTACCACTAAAAGCTGTGTTTCTTTTTGCATCTATAGAGTCCTATGATTTGGCGCTACTGCTATCATATTTCTGGTAGGTTCTGTTGATTGTCGGGTGTGACATTTTTGTTTCTACGATGGTTAGGTAATTTTCACCAATGAATCTAACATTGAACGCTGGAAAAACAAAAGACAGACAGCTGTGGATTCAAAAATTGGACGCCTTAACAATTTCATTAAGCGTGTGAAGGTCCCAATTCAGGTGGTTCAACCATGTTATTTGAATAATATATGTTTGTAAAATGCTAGTGCCTGAAATTTGACCCTTGAGTAGTTGGTTTAACTTTGTTGGAGTCCCACACCGACTAGGCACGCTTAAGCCTATTGGGTTATAAGAGAGGGTAATCCTCTCATTCAACAATGCCTTATTGGTTGAGGAGTCAGACCCACCTCAAATTCTATCATGGTATCAAAGCCCAGGTTCAGTTGAGCTGAGCGCTTGACCAGCGGGTGAGGAGTTAGAGTCAGCAATTACCTCCATCAATAGGTATGACCCAACATATGGGCTTGACCGTGGGGGGAGTGTTGGAGTCCTAGACCGACTAGGCACGCTCAAACCTATTGGGTTATAAGAGAGGGTAATCCTCCTATTCAACAAGGCCTTATTAGGTGAGGAGTCAGACCCACTTCAAATTCTATCAAACTTGACAATTATCAAATTCTGTGTCAAGAACTCTACTTTTAGTCCCTGCAGAATTACAATTATCAATTTGTGTTCAAGAATCCTTGAGTTGTTGGCTTGAAATGACAAGAAAATGGATAAAGGGTGTGTGGCCTCTCCTGATAAGAAATTTGAGCTTCATAATTCTTTTCCTCCTTAGACTGTCTAGAAAGGCAAATAATAACTCCACATTGTTTAATTGTGAATGTTTGGATAATTTTGCAAGTTTACAAATACTTTCAAGTTAGTGTCATTGTGTTTCCACTTTTGATTGGTTTAGTTAACCTTGACACCTTCTAATTATCTAATATAATTCCCAAATTAATTACTCCTATTGCTGAACTTAGTGAGTCCTGAATTAGTCACCAACTTACCATGGTAGTGCTTCAAGAAATGCTTTTGTTGTTACACTTCCACACCCTTTGATGCTTAAATTTTGTGAATGTGGCTTCAATTTTTCAGCTCAAAAGGTAACATTAATTGCCCTGCCCTGATCAGTTAGCACTTCAGCATTCTCTATGATATTGTTATTCTAAAATTTAGAACGAAAGCAAATGACTGGTTTGTCAGTATGGCATGTGAAAATCTTTAACTGATGATCCTTCCAAGAGTTGCCATGTTCTAACAGTTCTTAAATGATAATTGTGTCCAATCTCCTCTCCTGCAGGTACAGAGGCATGCTCTTTATCCATATGTTGCCGTAGATTCTGGCTTTTAATCTGTTATACATAAATGTGACCTTGTGAACTGAAAATAGAGCTTGAATGTTGTAATAGTTCATTATTTTGTTTAATAACATGTCTGAAGTATGGGACAGAATTTTATTTTCTTTTTTATTTATAAATATTATTAGGACATATTATAGGAGTGAGCTTCCAATTTTTTTATGCAGGTTTTTATTGCTTGTGGATTAAGTAATTCTGATGGTAAAGTTGATCCCTTTCGCAAGCCAAAACCTGGAATGTGGCAGATTATGGAGAAACATTTCAACTCTGGCATTCCAATTGATATGGAACAGTTATTTTCCTCTTCCTTTTCTTCTTTTCAAGTTTGGCTTTCTATGATTTCTATCCCATTCTCTTTACATTGGAAGGTTTACCTGAGATTGGACAGATGTGACCTAAGATGTGATTTCTAGATATTCACTTTATCTTAATTTTGTAGATCATTTTACGTTGGTGATGCTGCTGGTAGAGACAATGATCATAGTGATGCTGATATTAAATTTGCCCAGGTATTGCTAAAGTTCTCAGTTATGTCTATGTATTGTCTCCATGCAAAATATGTTTGGTAGTTCCTTATCACTGCTTTTCACATGTACTACACTGCTTTCTTGTTTGCAGGCCATTGGATTGAAGTTTTATGTCCCTGAAGATTACTTTGTCTCTTAAAAGAGCTTATGGTTAGCGATGGATGTGTAACACGAATTTTGCTGTTTGTTATCACTGGAGGTCGCTGAGTGAATTTCAGTGTGTATATATATACTTTTTTCATCCTGGCCTGTGATGGTTGTAACTGAAAGTTTCCATTTTGTTTTATATAATATACAGACTTTATACCAAGTTTAGCTTCCTCTCTCATAATCGTTGTTTGTATGTGTGTAAATAGACTAATTTGAATGAAGGCAACCTAATTATACAGTGTTTATTGGGTAATAATGTCACAGAATTACGTTACTTGTAGAAGGAATGTGGGGCATATGATGGAATTTATAATTGTGGCAGGTAAGTGGATTAGGCACGTTAAATGGCTCAGCTTGAGTCTTATTTGATGAAACGCTCATTGCAGTAGATTGCTGCAAATTTCTTTATTTCTTTCTAATTTATTTTATAACTCAAGAAATTCAGAGCAGGCCTATTCTATTATGGAGTTTGGGGTGCAAACTGCAAAGTTTGTAACGTCATTGTAAAAGCTTTTGAAATAGATGTTATGATTTATGAGTTTCAATGGCATCTTCTTGTGTGGAATGAATGGTCAAGTGGTGAGTTCAATCTCGCTTGGACAAAGTATTATTCATCAAAAACAAAATATAAACGAAAATGACGAATAACTCAGGCTTTATAATGTACATATGCATACTTGCATAGTGGGTGTCTGCCGTTGACTTCTTACACATTATCAAGTGCAGGAGCATGGTAGCTTTTGTCATCAGGTAATAGAAGTAGACAAATTCATCCTAATAGAATATTCTCATAACCCTTCTCTTTGCTTTGTTTTCTACATCTTCTTCAGAGACTGACTCACATTGTTTTTGCAGTTCCTCACCTTGGAACTTCCTCCATTTCCTGGTGGTTCCTCACGTTGGAACTTTCTCAATTTCCTGGCAGTTCCCCACCTTGGAACTTTCTCGACTTCCTGGCAGTTCCTCACGTTGGAACTTTCTCAACTCCCTGGCCTATCTTACGCCAAACTTATACCATGGAAGTAGTTGCTTCAGTCTTGGGAACAGTTGTTGCTGAAACTGGTCGGATTTTATGTTGCTTTGTGTATTCTGACATCCGCAATTGCTTCAGTTCCTATTTGAACTCCAGTGCTCTGAAAGAGGAAAGTAGCATGCTTACAGATATTAGAAAAAAGGTGGTAGAAGAACTGAGTTCATTGGAAAAAAGATGGAAATCTCTCAACAAGTCATGCAAATACATGGCTTAGAGAGATTATAGGGCTTCAGCATGAGGTAAAATTGATCCAATCAGGTATCACTGCCTACAAAGGTAGCATCTCTGGCAGTTGTTGGAGTGGAGCAAGAAGGTGTCAAAGTTGCTGGAGGAGGTGGAATGACTCATAAAAGTGGGCAGTTCACTAGCTTGTATGGAGGAAATTAATGATCTGCCTCTATCAGTTGAGCATATCCCTTGCTCAATAATTGAAAGTCAAACAACAGGTGAAAGGAAATTAGCACAAATTATGGATCTGTTGAGTGATGACAGCATAAAAATAATTGGTATTTCGGGTATGGTGTAGTTGGGAAGACCACTCTTGTAATGAATTTGAATAACAAACTCAAAAGTGATTCTCCACTCCCTTTTTGCTTGGTCATATGGGTTAAAGTATTCAAGGAGCTGGAGTTGTAAAAGGTTCAAATAGCGGTTGAATCTGGTGGGGAAGTTGGCTGAAAGCATTGAGCGAAAGGCTATTCAAATATATCAGAGACTCCAGAAGGAAAAGAAATTTCTTCTCATTCTTGATGGTGTTTGAGAGAGAATTAACCTGGGTGATTTAGGCATTCCATGGCCAGAAGTTCATCTGGGTTGTAAGATCATTCTGACTTCTCGATCTTTGGACATTTGTAGGGATATGAATATGAAGACTGATGTAGACATTAAAATGGATATTCTCAGTGGTGATGAAGCTTGGCGACTGTTCTGCCAAAGTGCAGGAAATGTAGCCAGTTTAGGACATATTAAACCATTTGCTGAGGCTATATGCACAGAATGTTGTGATTTACCTTTAGCAATCATCTCTGTGGATGTCAATGAGAGGGAAGACAAAGGTAGAGTTGTGGAGGAATGCATTGAGTGAGTTGCAAAGTCAGGATCCTCCATTAGAGGGATTGAGAACAAGGTGTTTAAGCCCTTGAAATTGAGTAATGATTTATTACATGGCAATAATATTAAATCTTGTTTCCTCTTTTGCTGTTTATATCTTGAAGACTTCTCCATTGAGATAAATGAATTAGTACAATGCTGGTTGGCGAAAGTCTTGCTGGATGAATGCTCGAACCACAATGAATTGCTTAATCGGGGAATATCTGTAGTCGAATATCTGAAGGACTCTTGTTTGTTGGGACATGGTGATCGTGAAGGCACCGTGAAGATGCATGATGTAGTTTGGGATGTTGCCATATGGATTGCTTCCTCGGAGGAGGGTTGTAAATCACTTGTAATGTCAGGAACTTGCTTGAATAAATTTGCAGACTCTGACATGACGACTTTAAAAAGGGTCTCTCATTAACAACAAAATTCCAAGCTACCTGATTCTGTTCAATGTTCAGAGGCATCATCTATACATCTGCAAGGTAATTATTCCCTAGAAAACACTCCTGAAGGTTTTTTAGCGGGGGTTTCAAGCACTTAGGGTCCTGAATTTGAGTAGAAACCGCATCCAATTATTGCCATATTCACTTGATCAACTATGTGAGCTTCGCACACTTCTTTTAAGGTATTGCATCTATCTAGAAGAATTAACCCCACTTGAGGGGCGTAGTCTGCTCCAGGTTTAATTAACATAATATCCAAACAAAGGTTTGTTTAATATGGTACCCAAATGCATATTTTTACTTCAAATCTTCCCATATTACTATGTAACTTGTTTCTTAAGATTGTACCGCAGCATATAAAAGTCTATTTTTTTAAACATGTATTAGAGTAGAGATAAGTATCATATACCCAAAAATATTTAAGCCACTGAAAATACATTTAACCATGGTTAAATTTAACCTGAACTTCCAAGCTAATCCCGGATAACTACAAATTTCTTTGACCAATGACTTTCTCTTGCCGATCTCTTCCTTTATTTTTCTTTCACTGTTGATTTCACTAATTTGGTTCAAAATAAACAACTGCAAACTGCCACATAGGAAGTTGCATTTATAGGGTCTAAAGTTTAAGTTCAAAAACTTGGGGTGGCCAAATATTAAAACTGATCTTATAGGGACTAAATTTAAAAAAAAACATATAATTAAAAAATAGGTTATGAGTTAAATCCGTTATATCCAATATTTTTGTTCTATATTCAACAGGTATTAAGCCTTAAAATATTCAGCATTGAGAACATCACCAGTTCAACTACAAGTATAAGCATTTGTCAGGTTTTGACAACCCTCACTAGTTTACTTACGAATGATTACTCATGGCTACCGTCCTGGAATTATTTAATCTGTCTAATACTGAGAATGGGACAGTCTCCAATGATTCGTAAAGCTTGAAAATATTTTTAACCTCATCAATTCTCTTTGACCAACTGCAGTCTGTCCTGTTTATATTTTCCGTTGACTATTGTTTTCAGAGATTTTGTTTATCATGGACCGACGACCCCTTCCTCAACATTTCTAAGCATTCATTAATTTTCATTTTGAATATTATGAGAACTTTTAGTTAAAATATTTATCTCTGCTCTTGTATTTTGAATACTATCAGAACCCTTTAAATGAAAGGTAAAAAGTATTCAGTTATAGTTCTGTTGGCAGGTCTATAAAAGACTCATAAACATGCACATTTGCCTACACAAGCCATAGAGAAAAGTTAAGTTGCAGTTACAGCTTAAAAGATTCATCACATCTTTTCAATATCAATTCTTGATATCTTAAGATGGTTTATCAAATGATTATGTTGGGAACAGTCATAGCTACTACTCTTTTGAGGTTATTTTTCTTGAATTGTTCAAGAGGAAAGAAGAAGAGTGGAGATGCTTCAATGAAGATTCACAAAAATGAGCGTTCAAAGAGATCAGAAAATCTAACACACCCTGCAGAGGTTGCTGGAAGCACCGATGTAATAATTGTTGGTGCTGGAGTTGCAGGTTCAGCTCTGGCTTACACTCTTGCAAAGGTAAATCAGTCTGCAAAATGAAATTGGTTATCTTGTTTTTGAAGCCTGGAGGATGTTTTTTCTGTTTCATTCCGAGCAACATTTCTTCTAAACTCTTTTTGCATAACATAAGAAAGAAGAAATAGAAATGGTTTCTAGCCTTTCTCTTCTGTCACTAAATTCACTTTTGTTTGCTACAAGAAAAAAAGTTGATGAGTCTCAGGAGTATTTAAGTTGTGAATAATCATTGAATTTAACCAAGTAGCCATATTGATCATACTCCACGAGGTTTTGAGTATGATTATAACCTTGTTTTATGCTGTTTGTTCCAGGATGGTCGCCGAGTGCATGTGATTGAAAGAGACTGGACTGAACCTGACAGAATTGTTGGTGAACTCCTACAACCAGGAGGCTACCTCAAGTTGATAGACTTGGGTCTTGAGGGTAAGCACAAATTTAGCTATCTCACTGTACCGTTGTCTTCTCTTATGGCTAACAAGTGTTTGGATCTGTGAAATGTGTGTGGCTACAGATTGTGTAAATACGATTGATGCACAACAAGTGTTTGGATATGCTCTCTACAAAGACGGAAAAAGTAACAAAGTATCTTATCCATTGGAGAATTTCAATTCAGATGTGGCTGGAAGAAGTTTTCACAACGGCCGGTTCATTCAAAGAATGAGGGAAAAAGCTGCATCCCAATCCAAGTAAAGTTTTTATCCTCTAACATTCATTTCAAATTGGTTTTCTCAACACTATTGCCAATCTCAATAGTTTGAAAATTCTCCTGGCACTCAAGTTATAGAAATTATCTAAGTTTGAAATAATTTCAATTACAAACATCTTGTTTGAATCATTTTTCTTGTTTTCTGCAGTGTAAGATTGGAACAAGGAACTGTAACATCTCTGATTGAAGAAAAGGGGATTATTAAAGGGGTGACATACAAAACCAAGACAGGTCAAGAGCTGACAACATATGCTCCCCTCACTGTAGTATGTGATGGCTGTTGCTCAAATTTGCGGCGCTCTCTCAGCAAACCTAAGGTTAGCATCCTTGTCTAGTTTGGCATGCATTTAAACAAT